TGTGAAACATACATACACACTGACACACAAATAGTTACATGCACACATGCAAGACATACTTTTTACATTTACAGCTACCCTACTGTTTACATACCTTTTGTTTGCAGGAGGTTGTCCTGCTGCTGTCTAAGGCTGATGGGAGTGTGGGGCTGAAACTAACATCTTGCTTCTCCCACACCTCCTCTTTGCCTCCAGCGCACACCTCCTCTTGCCTCCAGCGCAGCACTCACTTCCTCCCATGAAAGGGGACCAGTCATGCTGTTAAAGAGTTGCGATGCCCAATTGGGCCACTGTGCAGCAATACCCATTGGGTGGCTATAATGGCCTGGGTCTCCCAATGGGCTCCGGGGGAAGTTCCACTGCTACACTGGGGAATGCAGAATGGGGTGCTAGATATAGGTCAGACAGTGGCAGTCTTTAAGACTAGGGATGTGCATGGGCAAAAAATTTGGTTCAGAAATTCGGGTAAGTAAAAAAAATTTGTCTGCTTCTGCAATTCTAACGGCACTTCCAAAATTCGAGAATTCAGAACTTCGGTAATTCGGACCCTAAACCCTACCCCTAACCCCCTTCAGAACTTCGGTAATTCGGAACTTCGGCAGTTCGAACTTTGGACATTCGTAAGCATCCGAATGTCTGAATTGCACGAAATTGGTCTGAATGTACATTCAGAACGAAATTAATTGCACATCTCTACTTAAGACTTTCAAGGATGTCACAGACAATTTAAGTCAAGCCATAGCAGGCCTTGGCCAGGTGATTCTATGATTCACGCTTCTAAAGAACAAAATGGAAGTAAACCTAGAGAGCCGTGAGATTTAATCGGTAATCAGTGAAGCCTCATCATCCGAGAGTAACATGTCTGAAATTGTGAAAACTTACCTCAGAACCTATTTTGCCTCCTACTACAGAGCCTCTTACTTTCTGAAAACAGAAAGTCAGGTGGTACCAGGTCTTTAGTATGCGCAACAGCAACATAAATGCTGTCATGTCCACCAACAAGTATTCAGTTTGTCTTCTGAGGTACTGGCAATATCCTCAATCCCAGAGGTCACAGGTGTTACCAGATTTAGTTTTTTTTAAAGTTCAACCTACCCATGCTTGGCTACCCACCTCTACATGTTAATGTAGACTGTGTGCAGACTGAGTGTCGAAAAGCCAACAACTTTCTTCTTTTTTTGTTTAGGGTTGTGACTGTCACCTTTTCCTTGGGTTCACGTTCAACGTTTGCTACTGCTCTTCTGAGTGAAGAGTGGATTGTATCCCCCTTCAAGGGTTGTTGTGTGTAGGGCAATGCTGCTAGTGCTTCGCTCTGTAATGGTGTTTTTATTTTACTTTTTTTGCAGGGACTTAATATGAGAAAAGTGACTGACGACTCTTTACCTGGGTTCACGTCTGATCCTGCTGCTGCCTCTGTTCTGAGTGAACCCTCTTTCTAACAGCCTGCCAACTTTTCTCTATGCTCAGGTCTTGGGCATCACTTGTAGCACAAACTGGGTCACTGTATGCCACCTTGGCCTACCCCGTGGCCTACACCTCCAGGTCCCTGAACTCATACCTCCCAATCAGTAGAAAAATAGTGTAAGGCTGCAGTCCATAGCATTGTATGCTAGTAACAAAAATTGACTTGCTTTTTTATAGTGGATAAAATTAGGTTTAACAGAAAAAGGGAATAACTTTTGTATTCTGTAAAGTAACAATCAGAGTAAGCTTTAAAGGTAGACCATGTTGGACAATCAGCGTAAGCTTTAAAGGTAAACCATGTTAGACAATCAGAGTATGCTTTACAATAGGGGTGCCCAATAGGTAGATCCCCTGATGTTGTAAAAGTACAACGCCCATGATGCTTTGCATGTCTTTAGAATGCTTTAGAATGACAAAGCATTATGGAATGCATCTGGGGAACTACCTTTTGCGCACCCCAGCTTTAAAAGAAGTGTTAGGAATACAAACTTGTATTCCTAACACTAGCTTGATCTTGTCCCTAGTTATATTAATCCCCCTCACCCACCTTTGCCTTAAAAATATTTTTATAAAAAAGGGTTTTTACTTATCTTTTTTCAGCACTAAGAATCCCTCCGTGCTACTGATCTCTCCACCTCCTGCCACATCATCAAGGATCCAATTCACTCCATCACTGATCTAATCCTCTTCATAGAGGAGCATTGGGGACCTTATGCCATGCGCAGTGAGTGTTATTTGCGCATCCAATGCTTTTCATAGGTATGCATTGAATGCAATGCTTCAATGAGCTGCAACATCACATGAACAAGTTCAACTTGGTCGTTGCAGCAGAAGCGCCTCCTGTGGCTGTCAGTATTTGTTTTATTTGTTTGTTAGCACCCACGCTAAAAGTAGCCATCCCTCCTCTCTCAGCGCTTTAGTAGAGTTTATTTACTAAACAGTGCATTGCTGTTAATTTAAAGCTGAACTGGAAATCCTCGGCCAAAGTAGCTCATTTGAAACTATTCAGTCTGGCTTTAAATGTTAAAGCAGGGGTGCCCAAAGGGTACTTCTCCAGATGTTGCAGAACTACAACTCCCATGATGCTTTGCAGGCCCGGACTGGCCATCGGTGGGCCGCGATGGCCGTGGGGCCGAGGTCAGCAGGGGAGATCACAGGATCTCCCCTGCAAGCCCCTGCAGGGCCAGCGCTATCCGAGCGCCAGCCCTGCTTTGTGCCTCCATGGGCCGGTGGGGAGATCACAGATCTCCCTCACCGGCCCACAGGCACTGTTACAGGCGGCCGCAGGCTAGGGAAGGAGGGAGGCAGGAGAGAGGACCCGGCAGAGCTCTAACAAGCAGCTCCGCCGGGTCCTCTCGCGGGATTCTGAGCGTTGCCGCGGTTACCACGGCAATGCTCAGATCTCGCGAGAGTGAACTCTAGCCTGCAGGCTGGAGTTCACTCTCAACACTGGACCACCAGGGAAGCATGACAGCATGCGCCCCCCACCCCCTCATGGCAACACGGCTCCCCCACCTCCCAGGCTAAAGGTAAGAAGGGGGGGCATAACTTTTTTTAAAATTATTACTAATTACTAATTATTATAATTATTAATAAAATAAAAAATATATATATTTAAAATAATTACCCTAACAGCCCCCCCAGACACACACAGCCCCCCCAGACACAGACAGCCCCCCCAGACACACACAGCCCCCACACACACAGCCCCCCCACACACACACACACAGCACCCAGACACACACACACAGCACCCACACACACACACAGCACCCAGACACACACACACACAGCACCCAGACACACACACACACACACAGCACCCCCAGACACACACACACAGCACACACACACACACACAGCACCCAGACACACACACACAGCCCCAGACACACACACACACAGCACCCCAGACACACACACACACAGCACCCCCAGACACACACACACACACAGCACCCAGACACACACACACACACAGCACCCAGACACACACACACACACAACACCCAGACACACACACACAGCAACCCCAGACACACACACACAGCACCCAGACACACACACACAGCACCCCCAGACACACACACACAGCACCCCCAGATACACACACACAGCACCCCACAGACGCACAAAACACCCTCAGTCAGACAGCACCCTCACTCCCACACACATACAGCACATATATATTATATAAAATAACCTTCAGTGAGTTAACAGACAAAATTAGAAACCCAGACGGCAGATAAAAACATCCTCACACACAGCACTCCTCTTACACAAACACGCTGCGCACCTCACACATACAATACGTCCAAATATATTATACACACACACACACACTACAGCACCCCTCACACTGCACCACTACACACATTACGCTCCAGATACACGCTAGATCCCTTACCTTATATGCACTCTTAATCCTCTATAAACACACACAATCTTCTATACACACTCTGGGTCCTTTACACACTAGATCTCTTACACACACACTGCAAACACATACAACATTCTCTAAACACACCCTCTCTACACACAGTAGTGTGTGTGTATAAGTGACACACACTACGTCACCTATACACACACACTACTGCCCGTATGCACACACTCGCTACATCCCCTATAACACTATGCCCCTATACACGCACTCTCTACAGCCCCTAGCCACACATATTACACCACAAAATTGACCTATTTACACAATACCATACCACACTCTACACACAGGCAATCCCACAAGCATGCGCCAAACACATGCACCATACACTTTCCTGGCCCTTTTGTCCTCTGGTATCCCACTTGTGGAGACACCAGAGACAATTTAAAAGCAAACACAGCGCAAGCATGTTATTACATTTGCTTGCGCTGCGCAGAACAAATACAGGGCCTTTTTCTAATGCTAGAGCTCTTCAGCGGGGCTCTGCGCATTGAACCAACATGCTCACTTTCAGAGGGGGTGTACTTGTCATTAGTGATGACAAACACACCCTCTCTGGCCCCGCCCCCTTTTTGGGGGGCCGCTCTAATTGAAAAATGCCCGGGCCTAATTTTTTTCCCAGTCCGGCCCTGATGCTTTGCATGCCTTTAGAATGCTTTAGAATGACAAAGCATCATGGAAACTGTAGTTTTAAAACATATATGAATCTACCGTTTGGGCCCCCTTGTGTTTTTGATATCAATTCAAATTCTGCTAGTTCACACTTTAGTGAACGACCCTATCAGTTTCCATAGATTTCTTCTGGGGGGTGGGACTGAAAGTAGTTTATAACAGACTGGGGTTTAATATGTCTGTGCATCCTGCTTCAGTCCCACTAACACTCCATCTCTTTCCTGTGTAACATTGTTTCTCTGTGGAAGTTCTACCATTCTGTGTGAGAATTCCATACCTGCCCCCAGCCCAGAGAGTGAAGCAAACATTAACCCCTCCCATCCCTAGCCCCATACTCCCACCCCTCCAGGTCCCTGTCGCTGGATACACACAGACGCAGGTGAACGTCCCCATGTCCCCTCCCACATTCCTCCTTACTGTGACCAGGCAATGCCGGAGAGCTGGCTCACCACTGACAGGGAGGCTGACAGACTGAGATCACCTGCTGCTGCTTTGGATCTGTGTCTTCTAGTGGTTACATTGTCTGCTTTCTGGATTATAACTCTCTCTGCTAAGCCACACTCTACCTGCTGTACATGGAACCATCCCCCAGCTGAGAGTTTGGACTACAAAGTTGTAATGGAATGTCCAGAACTTGGGAAACAAAAAAAGTATTCTAACCGGCATTTCAAAGAAATCTAGCAATCAAAATATGTTTGAGGATTAAAATCAGGTAAGAAATCAGTTCTGGGAGATTTTGTCAGGTAACAAGAACCTACATTTTAAAGATCCACCCATAAACCTATTGCTCTTGCTGCCTTAGGGCCCAGGTACACATTGCAGAGCCGGTTAAAATAGCTGGCATGGTTTTTTTTTTTTGTTGTCTCTTTATTATCGCCTGCAGTTAATATTTCTATATTGTTTATCAGTTGCTAAGAAGCAAATAACACATCACTCATTGATAATGGCTCTTTTACATCCATTTAGGCAAAGTGCTTTTTGTTAAGTGCCTCTGACAGCATATTGTAGCAATTGGATGTTGAGATATGCTTTAGTAATGTTAATTCCAGCAGACAGGCCAGCTCAGGTATGCAAAATAAGTTAATTGGATGTGCAATACCAAATTCAGCATAGTCTAGTGATAAGCTGACTTATTAACTAAGCAGCCTGCTGTAGCACATAGGTCAGGGTTGTGCAGCCTAGACTGTATTTACATTTTATGTGTCTCTGGCCACAATCTCTTTGTCACTGACTTGTGAATTGCCATCTATTTGCAATTTAGTTGAATATGATGCATATTTGATTTTTCTTTTTCTTTCCATAAAAAGGGCTTTTTTTGTGTGCAAAAATATTGTACAGGCATTATTACAACAAGGATCAGCAAATTACAATAAGATTAATTGACTACGTGCAGAACAATGACTACAGGTTCACATGGCAAAGCGGCTAGCAGAAACTAAACAGAACATGGGCGCTAACCAATCTCTAGGTGCTTATTCTGGCTATTTTTTTTTTCCAAAAAAACCCACAAGGATATAAAACAAAACAAATTATAATTCAGGAAAAATTGGTCAATATTGATTTGGAGATATGAGTTATTTTCAGAGGTGTTCCCCAAAATACATGTGTATGTGTGCGTGCGTGCGTGCATGCGTGCGTGCGTGTGTGTGTGTGTGTGTATATATATATTTATTTATTTATTTATTTATTATTTTTTTTTTCATCAAGACACAACAGTATGTATATTCTAGGGTCACAGGCGCCTGGGTGCAGAAATTTGTTTTGGTGCCCCCCAGGTAGGCGTAGTCATCTTTATAACCCCCTCCCTTTTGCAACGACTCCACCTCTCCATCTAGACACACACTCACTAACAGTCACACACACTCACTGATTTGTCAAACACTGACAGAAACATACTCAGACAGAAACATTGACACACACTCTCAATGACAGATACACAATCTCACTAATTTGAAACACTCACTGACAGACACAAATGCTGACAGACACATAGTGGTACACAAAACAAGGAAGTCCAGCACTCGGCGCTTTAAATCACAACATGCATAATCACACAATTACACACACACTGCCCCATGCATACCTAGACAGTCACACACAATACAATACACACACATTCACACTGTCATATGGACACTGTCTCTTTCTTTCTTTCTTTCCTTCCTTCCTTCCTTCCTTCCTTCCTTCCTTCCTTCCTTCCTTCCTTCCTTTCCCTCCCCTCCCCTCCCCTCCCCCCAGGGTCCCTGGTGTCTAGTGGTAGGCAGGTATTCCTTCCTGCTTCCCCTCTGTCTGGCAGCGGTTTTAGACTTGGTGATGCCCTCTTTTAAACAATTATCTCTATAAACTCCTTAATATAAATAATTTTTTTAATGCAAAGCTTCTATGTAAAATAGCTTTTCTTCCAGTGATGTATGCACACCATACACAAATTAATACACATACATATAAATGCACAGATCATATCTCATACATACATACATCGACGTGTGCACACTCACATACATACACAGACACACACGATCACATACAGAGACACATACCAATATACACAGTCACATACATACATACATACATACCGGGTTATTCACAGTCACAGACATACACACATTAACACAATTACAAACATATATATATATATATATATATATATATATATATATATATATATATATATATAAAAAAACCACAGAGGCACATACATTAAAAGACAAACAAAGTCCCGTACATAGACACACAACACACTCAGTCACATAGGCTTATGTATAGCAGGTTGGTTGGTAGGTTAATTGAATTGGTGTTCAGGTGTGTTATGTGATCGGGTAGGTAGGTAGTTACTCAGCAGAGTATTGCTGGTGTAACACCACCTACACAGCAGCTCCTTTGCCAGCTACATACTGGGGGAGTTTCTAGGGCTGGGAAGTTTTCAAGGCTACATTCTAAAGCAGCCACTCACTCTCTTGATTCCTACCGTGTTCCAAGCTGTGACACTCTTCCCTACAGCGCCCCCCTTATTCTAGTGCTTGGTCACAAATGCCCCCTCATATGACCCTGGTGGTCCAGTGGTATCCTATACCCGTTTCCTGGCAGTCAAGTGGTTAATAGCAGGAAGCGCACGTCCTGTTTCAGATCATAATACCCACTCCTTCACGGCTCTGGCTATTAATTTTGTTAGAGCGCAGGCTGAGAATCTCTGAGCCTGTTCTCTGACTCACCAACTGAGCGAGAGTATATGATCTAAATGCACCTACTACCGGTGCGCACCAGTGGACCAGCAAGGAATCCTTTAAAAAAAAAATTTTTTACTTGCATTTTATGGAATTTCACAGTCTTATTACAGGTATACAGGGTATGCGAGTTACATTCATGATTACAGCATAGAGAGTACAAATATTGAGCAGCATGTATTGACAATGTACTATCATAACCTTACATTGATGAGAACCAGTGTGAAGCATACGTGTAGTAATGATATTATAGGTACACCTTTAAACAGAGCATCATTAAACAGAGTATCCTGACTTGCAATTGTGCCCACATTTGTGTTGCTCTCCTTCTTGTCCATTGGGCGTGATAGTTGGAGTTCTCTTTCCGCTTTGCCAGTTTCGGTAATTGCCCAATTGTAAAAGTAACCCGCATCTTCCCTGGTGCTTAGCTACTTTTCCAGTGAACAAAGGAATGTAAACTTGGGGCATAACCTGGGTGTAATACGGGGAAAAGGGGAGAGGTAGAGGAGGGGAGGGGGGCGGGTGTTGGTCCCTTAGCTTAGTCCAGCATTTAGGCCTGTTCGTCGGCCCCAATAAATTGCACCAGTGTACTCATCCAGCTTAAGTAGGAGAGGATAATGTGTGTGGGCTTCCATATGGTCGGAGAGTGATGTCGAGAAGTTTTGCTTAGTACTTTCCCCTTAAAGCATTGTCCTGTGGGTTACAACGTGAAGGGTGTTTAGAGTGTTTAAGTGTCACTGTGTCTGTTGGTATGTGTCCCATTTTCCCCATGCCTCCTTCCAAAACTTTTTTGGGGGATTGTTAGACCTGGCCATTATCTCATACCCCTTTATGGTTTCCATGTGAGTTATGCAGCTCTGTATGTTGGGGATCGTCTGCTTTTGCCAGTGCTGATATGCAGTAGAACTGCCAAGATAATGTGATATATTAAATATCGAGATGATTTTGTATGGCTTGGTGGTGTATACTGTAGGAGATAATGCTCGGGAGTATGTGCAAGAGCTACACCTGTAGTGTTTTTAATTAGGGCCTGTGTGTCCGTCCACAATGGTGTCAGGACCGGGCATTCCCACCAAATGTGTAGCATGGAGCCTTGGGCTTTATTGCATCTCCAGCACAGTCCTGTATTCTTAGGTGTCATATGTTTCAGTCGGGTTGGTACTAAGTACCAGCGGTATAATAATTTCCTGGCTAGTTCTAGATGGGCTGTGCTAAGTGTAAGTTTCTTATTCTCACACAGTATATATGACCACTGCTCTTTTGTTAACTGTTTTCATAGTTCCACTTCCCATGCTTTTACAAACTGTAGTGTGTGCGGGTCTAGTACACGATGATGGTGATTGTACAGTGTGGAGATTAGCTTAAGTGGCCTTTTCGCCTGTGTGCAGAGACTTTCTAATGCAGTGAAAGTGTTCCACCTGTCTACTGCAGGCAGTACTTTTCTATTTGTCTGCAACCATGAGTTTATCTGTCTGTACGCAAATGCTGCTGCATTGGGTAATTGGTATGTATTTTGCAGCTGGCTGAAGGGGATGATCTCTCCCTGATCAAACAACTGATGCAAATATATCAGACCCCTGCTGCTCCAGGACGTTATGTTCAATGAAGGTATCAGTCCATAAAAGGAGTCTAGGAGTAAGGCTGGTGAGAGCCCCCCATCAAGACCCTGTTCCTTATGAAATCTGTCCCATTCTCGTAATGTTGTGGCTGTGAGTGGTGACATATCTTTATATTTTTTTCTGAATTGTGGTGGCGTCCAGGCTAGGTGCGTTATTTTTTGTCCCCCGGTTAGGTCTGCCTCTACAGTTACCCAAAGGGATGGTTTGTCATGTTGGTGTAATTCGTTGACCAGCGGTGCAAGTATAGCTGATCTGTAGTACGTGGCTATGTGTGGTAATCCCATTCCCCCTCCTTTATATGTGAGGTACATGAGTTTTGCCGCTATTCTGGGTTTCTTATGGGACCAGACAAAGGTATTAATCAATTGTTGTGCGTCGTGGAGGAATGTTTTTGAGAGCCTAATTTGTAATGTACGGAACATGTATTGCAGTCTCGGGAGAATTTTCATTTTGACTGCTGCTATTCTACCTATCCATGATATGTATTTCCCTTTCCAATTCGCCGGCTGCTGTTTTATGGATGTAAGGAGTTTGCCGTAATTCTCCCGATGTAAGTTCCTCTCTAGTCTCGTAAATTTTATGCCCAAGAAAGTTAGGTGGTCTTGTCTCCATTCATAATGGTATTTCTGTTGCAAGGCTGTATACAGCGATGCGGGTGCATGTAGACTCATTGCTTGCGTTTTAGAGCTGTTCAATTTGTAATATGAGCAATTGCTGTACTGTTGTAACAGATTCTGGAGTTCTGAGATAGAGGTGAGTGGGTCAGACAAGGAGAGCATTACGTCATCCGCAAACATCGTTATTTTGTATGTTTTATTTTTAATGTTCACACCTCGGATTTGGCTGTTATCCCGTATCGCCTGGGCTAATG